GTAAAAAAAATTTTTTTTTACACCAAAATAATTTAGGGGGGCTTTAAAGTATTTTAGGGGGGCTCTAGCCCCCCTAAAATAGGCCTAGTGACACCACTGGTAAGCATAAATATGTACCATTCTGACATTGTACACAGTCCATCACAGCTACACGCTGTTAGAAATAAAAGTTTTTTGGTTTTTTGAAGTCACCTCCTAATAAATGTCATTTTGGAAAATCTAACTGCTCACATTTACATAATACTTTTACTACTTAAGAACAAAAAAAACATCAGCAACTTTTAAGACTTTTACTCAAGTAATATTCTTAAAGAAGACTTTAACTTTTACCAAAATATTTTTATGATAAGATGTTTGTACTTTTACTCAAGTATGACTTTGAGGTACTTTATACAACAATGAACGTAAGGTTTTTAAAAGTCTTTTTTCTCTTCAGCTGCTACATTTTTCTCTAAGAACTCAAATTTCCCACTTTTCACCTGACCTTAAACGCACCTGACGCGTCGTGTTTATGGGAGTTGTAGTTCACGCGACGTTAGCGCGCTGTTAGCAGGCGCTGTAAAAAACTACAAATCCCAGTTGTGTTAACGCGGAAGTGAAGAAAGAAAACATTAGAAACAAGATGTCTCGCGCTGCTGGGAAGAAGAGAAAATTAGATAAAAGTCGTCAGGAGAGGCTTTATTTCGACAGCTACTCCGATGTGACGATCCACGAAGAGATGATAGCGGACCACGTCCGGACCAGCGCCTACCGGACCGCCATCTTCAGGAACAGCGAGCTGATCCGGGYCAAAGTGGTTCTGGACGTGGGAGCGGGAACCGGCGTTCTGAGCATCTTCTGCGCGCAGGCCGGCGCGAGGAGGGTGTTCGCCGTGGAGGCCTGCTCCATAGCCGAGCAGGCGGAGAGGATCGTGGCCCAGAACCAGGTGCAGGACCGGGTGGAGGTCATCCGGGGCACGGTGGAGGCCGCGGACCTGCCGGAGCAGGTGGACGTGATCGTGAGCGAGTGGATGGGCTACGCGCTGCTGCACGAGTCCATGCTGACGTCGGTGSTGCACGCGCGGGACCGCTGGCTGAAGCCCGGCGGCCTGATCCTGCCGAACCGGGCCGAGCTGTACATCGCTCCGGTCAGCGACCCGGTGGCGGAGGAGCGCCTGGACTTCTGGTTCACCGTGAAGGAGCAGCACGGGGTGGACATGTCCTGCATGGCCGACTTCGCCCGGAAGTGCATCAAGAACTCGGACGTGAACGTGAGCGCGGTGGCCGGGGAGGACGTGCTGTCCCACCCGGCCCGGTTCGCCGAGCTGGACCTGCGCTCGGTGACCGCGGAGGAGRTGCGGTCGGTGCGCGGCGCGTTCCGGTGCCAGGCGTTCGGCGCGGCGGCCGTGAACGCGCTCTGCGTGTACTTCACGGTCAGCTTCCCGTGCGCGGACGGTCCGCAGCCGCTGGTCCTGTCCACGTCCCCCTTCCAACCGGAGACCCACTGGAAGCAGGCCGTGCTGTACCTGGACGCCCCGGTGCCGGTGGTCCAGGACACTCCGGTGTGCGGGGAGGTCCACATGTTCCCGTCAGAGGACAGCGCGAGACACGTGTGTGTGCACGTGGACTACAGCATCGGAGGGCAGAGGAGACAGTCCAAGACCTTCTCCATCCCGGACTGGACCTCTGATGCTCACACACACTCTTAATGTTTATAAAACTTTACATTTAATAACTGTCAGAGTTTTAAATAAAGGATGACTCTCAGCTACCACCCAGCTGCACTGCAGCATCAGTTCACTGACAAAAACTAAGATTATCAGGGTGGCTTTTTGTGTTCCACTGATTCCAACTAGAAAATAAGTTTTACTTTGTAAACACAGTTTGAAAGCTTATCGCTGAAAATGTGAGTTAAATTAGAGCCGCTGATTTTAGCTGAAAGGAAAACACGAAAAAAAAAACAAGAAATTGTGTCAAAAATCTGAATTATTGAACAGAAATGTCGCTAAAACCAGCAGACATGTAAGCAAAACAGTTTAAAAAGCAGAAAAAAGTTGCAAGAAACAACAAAATGTGAATTTAACAAATGAAAACAGCTGAAACTTTGACTTAAGAACTAAAACAGAAAAAAAACTGCTAATGTTTGACATTAAAATAAAAAATCATTTCACCAGTTCAGAGAGAACAAAGAGGTCACGTTAGAAAAGTAAAAAGGTGCAGTTTGTTGTAAATTAGCTAAAACAGATGAAATTAGCAGAAAAAAGAGCTAAAATATACAAAAATATAAAGCAGTAAGAAACAGGCTGAATTATCACGAAAAGGTTCATTTAAGGTTAAAAGTTCAAATTAACTAAAACTAACAAAAACTGCTGAAACCAAAAGTGTCTGAAATGAGCAAAGAAACAAAATGATCATGATTGATTATTTAAACAGCAAGAAGCTAAAATTATAACAAAAACTTTGACTTAAAAGTTTAAATTGGCTAAACTTTCAACAAACGGCTGAAATTAGCAGAAATAAAAATAAAAAGCTTCAGTTAGAATGAAGCTGAAAAAAAGTCCAAACAGTTGAAATTACAGACAAATGGTGAAGTCATGATGGCTAAAAC